CAATTAAAACAAAAGACAATACAGTCCCATTGGCCTGCTAATGAAAATAACGGGAGGGATAAATGGCAGATCACCTCCAATTTTTGCTGGGTAGTTTTGCCGGAAGAGATCCGTCTTTACTGCCTTTTTAAAGGTGGCAAGAGTGGTAATCAAACGGATCTCATCCAGCAGGCCATTCCACAGTCTGGGAGCGGTCACTGAAAAGGTCCTCTGGGAGGTCTGCGAAAGCTTGGTCTTTATTGGCTGTATCAGATTTCTCCCAGAGGACCGAAGTGCATGGGAGGGGTCATACGGGGAGAGGCGGTCCCGAAGATAGGATGGACCCAAGCCATGTAGGGCTTTAAAGGTTAAAACCAACACCTTGTACTGTGCCCAGAAACTAATTGGCAGCCAGTGGAGGGATTTAAGCACCAGTGTTATTTGCTCCCTCCTAGATATTCCAGTACTTAACCTGGCTGCCATATTTTGTACTAGTTGCAGTTTCTGGGTTAAGCACAAGGGTAGCCCTATGTGGAGTGCATTACAGTAATCCAGACTTGAGGTTACCAAGGCATGCACCACAGTTTCCAGATCCCTCCTGTCCAGATAAGGGCACAGTTGGCGTATCAGCTGAAGCTGATAACAGGCTGTGGCATTTGGTTGATCTTATTATTAAAAATGAGATTTTGTAGAACTAAGTATATGCACCTGACAGCTAAGCACAGTGGGCCATTGGTATCTGCAGAAGTTTGGTTTCAGGACACACACACCCATACCAAAAAACCATGGATGCTCAAGTCCCATTATATACAATGGTATAGTAAGATGGTTTCCCTTATATAAAATTGCAAAATCAGGGTTCACTTTTTGGAATGTATATATTTTTAAAATATTTCCAAACACTTTTACTGTTGCTACAAGACTTGTACATCAAGATAGAAAAGATAAATGTTCACCATCTATCATTCCATGATCACAAGATCTTACTGATTTTATCTACATGTAAACATGTGTTTTATAGACATCAGCTCCAGAAAATGTATTTTTGGATATATTTACATTGATGGATATGCCTAGCCCAGCCCATATTTGTTTCCTGTGACCCCCTGCTGTTTTCCCCTTTCTTCTTCTTCCTCCTCATTCCCTTTAGCCTTTCTTTGTATGTCTATTTTTAAAATCCATTTTTTAAAAAAGTGTAGCTTGTCATGTATGCTGCTACACCTGCTTAAAAATAATGCATTGAGCTTTACAATTGTAAATATTTTGTATTGAATTTTATGTATTGAATATACCACCCATTCTCAGGGAAGGATCTTGCATACTTGACCTCTTGCTTATTATTGTATTAAGTGCCCTTCTTCAGTTGTTCATGCATTTGATGTAGTAGGATTTCTTTTTTAAAAATAATTTTATTATAGCAAAAAGAAATTTTATATATATATATATATATATATATATATAGAGAGAGAGAGAGAGAGAGAGAGAGAGAGAGATACAATGGATATTTACATTCTGCCACATACATCAATCCATGCATCAGTATTATTATTATTATTTAAAACGTTATCTCCGGTTTCATTTTATTACATTTCATTTTATCACATTTTCCTTTCTATGGTCTTTCATTGATCTTCTTTCTCCTTCTTGCATTATTCACATTTCTTTCTCATCATTCCCTTCTTTTTCTTTTCACCTATTGTATATTCTATTTTCTCTATTTCCACTGATGTGGTAGGATTTCCAGTGACCAACATTGCAACAATGTATGGCATCATCATAGGATTCCTTGATGGTTTTGTTACAGTATACTAAGGGAAAACAGGTGTTAAAGCCCCACTGACTGCTGTTTGTAATCCAAACCATTTAGGGATGGGGTACTTTGTATCAGAATTTTTTTCAGAAAGGGATACTTGCATTACATTCCTGTTCACATCTACTTAGAAGTAAACATCATTGAGTTCAATGGAACTTAATTGTGTATAGAATTGCAGGTTCAACCCTTTCAGTTACCATATTGCAGAAATAATCCAGTTTGACACCATTTCAACTGTCATGGCTCAATGCTATGGAATCCTGAGAATTTTAGTTTGTTGTGGCACCAGAGCGGAGCCCAGTATTTTCAACAGAACTGAGCTGGCACTTGGTGCTTCAGCAAAGATATGGCAGATGCATCTGAGTGTTGGACCACTAATAACAACCAAATCAGCAGGTTTGGCATTTGTGCTAATTATGCAAAACCAAACCAGGTATTTATTGTAAAAAACTGTTATTGTTGTTGCAAAATAAATCTATTCAGTTATATTTGCAGTGCATTGTTTATTTGGTTACATTTTATTATTCAGAGGAGTACAGGGCTCCTTAAAATTTGCAGTTTGGCTTATTCTAAGACAAATATTCCTATTCTAAGCAGAAAAAGAGTGGTGTTGGACTATGACTCTGGAGACTAGGGTTTGATTCTCTGCTCATCCATGAAACCCACTGGTTGACCTTGGGCAAGTCACATTCTCTCAGCCTCAAGAGAAGGCAGTGGCAAACCTCCTATGAACAAATCTTCCCAAAATAATTCTGTGAT